AGTTCATTTTCTTTATAAATGTACCCTCAGTAACCCGAACCTCATTTATCAAAGTGTAACTGCGTCGAAGCTCTCAGTCCAGAATCATGGGGACAGGAATAGATTGGCTTTAAAGAGTCGGAAACTGTTCAACAGACTATTTCTGGAAAAAATAGTGTATGAATGGAGTCTCACCAAAACTATGCACTGGCATCTGCTGTTTGCTTTGTGTTGTATTTCTTCAGGAGACCTATTTGAATTTAAGCAGTCCTCGATTGTTATGATGGGTCCTTTACAAGAGAAGCAACATCATTTTACAAACATTCATTTCACTGAATTTTTATGTCTAAATTATGTTAGGCTGTGAGCATTCTCTCAAAAGATGAAGGCTGAACAAAACGCTGCAAATTTTTTCTTTGATTTGGTTTAAAGAGAGTACAATAAAATGACGATATATGGTCAGTGTAAAATAAAGGAAAACATGTAAAGGTAAAAAAATAAATAACTGACGCATTTAATTTATAAGTATAAGCTAAGATTTAATATGCGGAAGATTCAGTTTCATCACGTTCAATTGTACAATAAGAAACCAAATGTTTACTGAGTGTCTGTATTATACAGGTGTCCGCAGTATAGAGTAGAAATTATCAATATGTGAATAGCCCCATTTCGATATATAAAATTCAGCTTAAAACAATAGACCTCAGCACAAGGCTCCGGGGAATAAACCCCACATACTCTGCAGTTATTCCCCAGGGCCTCGCGCTGAGGTCTATTGTTTTGGGCTGAATTTTAATCTATTATATGGCTGGCTCCGTGAGCGGGCAAGATGAATCAAATCCTGCGCTGTGGTTGGCTACCCGAGCACAGGGAGCTCTCACATCCGTTTAGAATATTAATAAAAGATTAAGCTACCTTTGTGGCGCGTGTTTTGTGTTTTGTGGCGGCCATTTTGAATTTTTAATACGCGGTCTGCTAGTAGGAAGTCTGGAACCGAAATTACGGAAGTCTGGGACGGGCGGGAAAATGCGCAAATTCTCGGAGGTAGCCGATCACTCACCGAGGAATGTTTTTGCGATATGCAAGCGAATGCGTTTGCTTTGTAAGGAAGCTAGTGTTTTAAGAGCAGATATAAACGAAAGGAAGTTGAAAGTTTCTGGAGGCTTACTTAGGTCTTCTTCGAAACTTAAATTTTCAAGTACCTCACGAAGGTCTACTTCTTCCTCGGTGCCACGCTCCTCTATCTCTTGATCAAAAAAGCCATTCACAATTTGATCCAACTCCCGGATATCCTCCTCTGA